AGGCTGAGGAATACAACAAGCAGTTAGCAGGTCCCTGTGCCTGCCTGTCCAGAAAACCACAGAGAAGAAGCTGGGGGCCAACTGCCGCGGGGTCTTTATTTTGTATTTGTTTATTTTCAGTTCATTGTGCACAGTGATAGATTTAATAATAAAATTTTCATCCAATTGTATCATGTATTATGACCATGTTCATCCTCTCCTACTTCCTCTTCCTCCTCTTGCTGACCCCTTTCTGTTTTCCCAAATAAGCCCTGCTTCTATTCCATGTCATGCATGTATATAGTCTAGACTGCACACATGAGAGAAATATGCACTACTGTCTTCCTGAATCAGACTTACTTTGCTTAACAGGGCGATATTCAGTTTCACCCGTCTTCTGGCAAACGACCTAATTTCATTCTTTAGGACTGAATGTGCATACAGACCACATTTTCTTTATCCATTCATCTGCCGATGGACACCTAGGCTGATTACAAACCTTGGCTACTATGAATCGTGCCGCAATGGGCATGGATGTGCAAGTGTCTCTGTGGTGTGGTGACAGGTTTCACGGAGAAATATATTCAAGAGTAGCCCAGCTGGATTATATAGTGGTCCTATTTTTAGTTTTTGAGGAACCTCATACTGATTTACATAGTGTCTGGACTTAATTTACATTTCTATCAACCGTGCATAAGGGTTCCAGAGGTCTGGTGGATTTGTTATTAAGTCCTCAATAGGGCTCTCATAAATAACATAAACTGAAAAAAGTTTTTGGCAAATATTTGGATGCACTTCTCTCTTACCTCACATGCCTTCCCTAATTATTAGCTGTGTCAATGACAAACAACGATAGTCCCTGGAATGTATCATGCTATTTCATATCCAATATATGTATTGTTATTTCTTAGAAATAACGTTTCTACTGCTCTGTCTACCCGGAGAACTCCTCTCACCCTTCAATATCAAGCTACGTCATCACCTACTCTGGCCCTCACAGTACTCTATCATCACCACATCTCTCATATTGTTTGGCAATTGATCAAACATGGAGGTCACTCACCCCATGTTCGGTAATGAGGACATGTCCTCATATGAGCCTGGTTCACCTTTCTCCGGCTGGAGCACTGCCATGAAAATGTTCTATGATCGCCTTGCTTCTGGAGTCTCACATAGACAGTAGGGTTTTAACAGATGAGATTCCCCAGATGTTGGATACCAGCACCAGCCTGGGAGTGACCCCTCAGCCACCCTAGATCCCAATCATCCATCAGCCACACTAAAATTCAGTTCTGACGAGCAGAGGAGGAAAGACACAAAAAGCCCAAAATGAAAATAAACAAGTTAACAAACAAACAAACAAACAAACAGACAAAACCAACACACTCCTGCAACTGTCTAAATTTAGTGAAAAAAGTAATATTAAGTAAAGCTGAAGGGTAAGCACTAACCATAATTCTAAATTACCTTGTGATATCAACCTAGATATCTGGGAAGAGGGAATGTTAATTGGGAAAATGCCTTCATAAGATTAGCCTGCAAGCGAGTCTGTAGGGCATTTTCTAATTGATGTTGGAGGGCTCAGCTCACTCTGGATGAAGCCATCCCAGGGCACCGAGTGGTCTTGGATGGTATAAGAAAACAGACTGAGCAAGACATGGGGAACAAGCCAGTGAGCAGTGTTTCTCCATGGCCTCTGCTTCATTTCTTGCCTTCAGATGGCTTCTGCCTTGGCTCCCCTTAACGGACCGATCTGGGATACGTGAGCCAAATAAGCCCCTTAGCTTAAGTTGCTTTGGATGATGGTGTTTATCACATCAATAGAAATCCCAGCTAAGACAACACCCACCAGACTTACAAAGCAATCCATGACAAACACCAGGACCCACCATTCCCAAGCCCTGCATCGCACAGTGTAGAAATGCTCAATGCAGCTCCACCCCAGTACCAGCTACTGCATCCCCATCACAGACGACTTGGCAGGTCAGGGATTGGGGTCAGGCTCAGCATTTACATGTTCCCATCCATACCACAGGGATGAAAGCATTTGTGAAGAGAAGAGCCAGTTCCATGACTTGTGTCTTATACACATTCAAATAAAATTTGATTCCTTAACATTGGTGTCTATGTTTCTTAGAATACCATGATAGAAAATAAACAGGCACATCTCCAGGGTCTCATTTTTTTTTTTTTTTTTTTTTTGGTTTTTTGAGACAGGGTCTCTCTGTGTAGCTTTGCGCCTTTCCTGGAACTCACTTGGTAGCCCAGGCTGGCCTCGAACTCACAGAGATCCACCTGGCTCTGCCTCCCGAGTGCTGGGATTAAAGGCGTGCGCCACCACCGCCCGGCTCAGGGTCTCATTTTTGATGAAAGGTTTGACCTTGTTCTCGTAGGATTGGGCTCAGGAAATACACACACACACACACACACACACACACACACACACACACACACACAAATCCTGTGCAATGGCATTCATAGTTGACCTCTTCTCTTCCTGGTATAGAAACATATGGCCTTAGCAGACTGTAGAAAAAGGTTTTCAATATTTCTGAGAACACACACACACACACACACACACACACACACACACACACACACACGCAATCAGAGGCAGAGGGCGAGGAGAAAAAAACACATCCAAGACTGGAGAGGCTAGGACTATACTCTGGGGAATTTGATAGTAACTTTTCACCCACATCCTGCAACTGCAGAAAAAACACAAGATAAAAGGTTTCCATTCAAGTGTGTGTGTGTGTGTGTGTGTGTGTGTGTGTGTGTGTGTGTGTGTGTGTTCTCTTTTTCCTTTTTTTTTTTTTTAAAGAAAAACATGAATCTTCCAGACAGCTGAACAGCTCTGCAGGATATTTTTCTGTTTGCTGGGTCCCCACCGCTCCTCCTATGACTACAGAAGACAGTAATTGTAAGAACTCCTGGGAGGCTGGGGAAGCGTCTCAGCAGTTCAGAGCGCTGCTTGCCCCTCTTCCAGAGGACCCGAGTTCACTTCCCAGCGCCCATGCCAGCTGGCTCACAACAGCCTGTAACTCCAGGATCAGGGGTTCATCACCTTCCTCTGGCCTCCAAGGACATCTCCATCCCCCACGGCAGGCACACAAACACACATGAGTAAAAAATCAAAGTAAATCTTAAAAAGATCCTTGGAGTGAATCTTTAAATTTCCTTTGTTTAGATTACATGCTTTGTCCCCAGACAGTTGTGAGCTTTTAAGCAACACTAGGCGAGATTTCTTTTTTATTATTAGAAAAATATTTACATGTATAGGTGTTTTGCCTGCTGCCTGCAGAGGCCAGAAGAGGGTGGTGGATTCTCTGGACTGGAGCTACAACAGATGGTTGTGAGCCACTGTGTTGGGGCTGGGAATCAAAACTGTGTCCTCTTGAAGAGCAGCTGGTGCTTTTAACTGCTGAGCCATCTCTCTGACCTCTGGACAAGTCTCTCTCTCTCTCTCTCTCTCTCTCTCTCTCTCTCTCTCTCTCTCTCTCTCTCTCTCTCTCTCTCTCTCTCTCTCTCTCTCCAGAGAGGGTCTCACTCTGTAGTTAGTGTTGGCTGGCCTAGAATACTCAATGTAGACCAGGCTGGCTTCAGATTCATAGACCTGCCTGCTTCTGTCTTCCCAAGCATGGGATTAAAAGCGTGCACCACCAAACCTGGCTTTCTTACCTTCTTTTAAGAATTCCTTCAGCAATTAAAACGGGAGCACGGCCGTGCTGAATTCAGAGTGCTCAGAGGGAGGAAGAAGCCATGACTAATGAGTCTTGGGCTACCTGGCACACTGTGTGCACTCAATCTAACATCGACACACAACAAGTAACGGAACAACACTTGTGTTAATGAAGCAAATGAATCCATGGACTTATTTTCATGTGCTATCATACATCCTGCAGCAGGAGGAAAGGAAACCCAGTGAAGGGCCAATTAGGTTCCTCGGCGGGGACTCTGCTCTGCTCATTAGAAGGCTCAGTCTGCCTTCCTCCCCCGCAGTGTGGCCAGGCTTGGGGGGAAGGCTCCCTTCTCCTTCACAATAATGCCTGTCATCTGTCCAGGCCCAGGGGAGACCAAGAAAGCTACTACCTGAATAGCACAGCCCTTATTTCTTGGTGGCATGGACCAGTGGTATTATCAGTTACCTAGAAAGCCTTGGCAAAGCCTAGGCCCCAGCCTGCACCATCATGCTGCTCAGCCCAGTGATGCTCAAGACAGCTAACTGGTCTGACCGGACTTTCCAAGTTCCCCTGGATCGGTCATTCCAAGAGTATTTCTAGGGTGTATACGTATTAAATCATTACCATTCTTCAAGATTATATCTTCATTTTTTTTTTCTCCAAAAGGATTTTTACTCACTTTTGCCATATCAGAACAGTTCCCCTAGGGCTTTGGCCATATGTACTTATAAACTGATATGGGATGGTGTACGCAGCCCAGGCTGGGGAACCCCTCCTCACCTCTGACGATCTCACCTTCACAGAGCACTCGGCTCTATCTGGCAACCTCACTCCCATTGCCTCTCAGACAGAACAGTTACAGCAAATCCTCAGCGTTTGTTCGTCAAGGCTCCGCTCGCACTGGGTTTCCAGGGAGCCCTTCATTAATCCTACTAAGTACATTTTTCTCTAAACATGTCTCCTCAGTTGAAATCCCATTTCATCCAAGATTTGAATATGGCTTTCCTTGCTGGTTTCTGCATTAAATCTAAAATTTCATTTCCTTTTCAGCTACCTTCCCCCCGGGGATGAAGGAAAGTGAACATTCTCATTTCATTTCATCAAAGAAAGCTGACAGAACTTATTATAAAAACCAACAGAGATGTGTTAACAGACCTCAGGTCATTCCCTTATCATCCACCGTTTCCTCAGAGATCCGGAGAGCCTGGGTCAGCGGGGAAAGACTGGACTCCACACATCCCTTGTGGACTTTCCTCATGTCTACGTGGTCAGCACATAGCAGCTAGTGCACTCACCATCGAGATTATTTCAAAGGAAATCACAGAGACACTTGCTTACCCGGCAGTCTCTCTGCAGGGTCTTCATTAGGGCGTTGTACGTTTCTGTATCGAAATACAGCCCCTCGTGCATGTCCTGCAGGAAATCCAGGTCCTTAAAGGTGGGGTTGGGCTTCTCTCTCTCTTTGCGGGATGCTCTTCGCTTGTACGTGGAGCCTTTCAGGTCATAGGTCAAGTGCATCCTCATGGCCCGCGGCAGCACATTGTTCATCACCACGATGCGGATGTTGATGCCCCCTGACTGCATGCAATACAGCCCGTAGAACTTCGGCAGAAGAGTCCTCGGATTCTGGTTTAGATTCTAGAATGGAAAAAAAAAGGGAAAAAATTGCTCTCTTCCATTTTCACAAAGTAAGTTTTCACTGAAAGTTAGTTTTGAAGCTCACATGACTCAACACAGGACGTGTTGTTAATGTCCACTATAGAAAGGTGAGAGTTTATACTTCCTGCCCTCTCCGACCTCCCCTCCCCTTCTCATTCGTTCCCTAGAAATCTGACCCTTTCATGTCATATATTGTTACATACTGGAAAATTTTTTTGAGATTATAATATAATTACATTTTTCCCCTTCCTCTTCCTCCCTCTAACCCTCCCACATCTCTTCCCTGACTCTCTTTCAAACTCATGGCCTTTTTAAAAAATTGTTGTTATCTATATGTATGCATCACATTTAAACTGATAAGAACAGATACTACACTTGATCTTAGCCAAAAGGCCGAGAAGCGATGCATGCATCACATTTAATATAAATATAATATATAAAGATGACCTGGTCAGTCTGTATTATGTTGCTTGTATGTGTATGTCTTCAGGGATGACTATCTGGCATTGGTTAACCAACTGGCTACTCACATTTTAAAAATCCCATTTCCATTTATTTGTGTGGGAACATGCAGGTGTGCACATGCCGTGGCCTGAAAGTGTAGGTGAGAGCAAAAACATGTGCCTGGAAGGTGGTTTTCTCCACCGTGTGGGTCCCAGGGATTGAACCCGGGCCACCGGGTTTGGTGGCAGGTGTCTCTACCTAGCCAGCCATCTCACTGTCTATACAAACAGGATTTTTATGCATCTAAGGGTCAGAAATGAGACAAGTGATATTTTCTGAGACTGACTTGGGTTACTTAATATGATGACCTCCAGTTGCACTGTTTTTCCCTAGAAATGGCATAATTTCATTCCTCTTTATGGCTGAAAAGAAGTTCTGTTGTATCTGTGCACCACATTTTCTTTCTCCATCCCTCTGTTGGTAAACAGCTAGAATGGATGGATGCACAAGTGTCTCTGCTGTCTCTAATTTCTTTCTAAATCTGCTCTTGGAACAGCAACATAACCATTCTAAACTCGCAGCTGTAACAGTCGAATCAAACACGGACATAATGCTCCAAATTAGCGTCAACTGAACACAGGCGAAGACCCGATGGGTACTGCTAGTGACTACTCTCCAAGGTAGCTAAGGAGAAAATTAATTGCTGGGGAGTAAATGGTAAATAGTCTAAAATTGAATTCTGCTTGCAAAACTGTCTTCCTCATCGGTGAGCCCAATTTGCAAGCACACATTCCTGTTACTCTCACTGACACCAAATGCTACCAGATGCCAATATCTTTCTAGGCAGGGCTGATGAAAATGACAGTTTTGAAAAGCTGAGCGCCACTGGCTATTGAAGACAGTCCCTGTTCTTGATACATTTTCGCTTCCTCAAGGAAAATTCTGTGCTAATACCATTTGCTCATTCTTCTGTGTTTCATCATGGCTGCAGTTCTTCATCCATCATGGGATTTTATATTTTTCTTCTTCTATGTGGAGTAAACATTTTCTCCTAGTACCTGGTCTTTTTATTATAAAAATGGAGAAGACATACTGTCTAAGTTAGGGTTACTATTGCTGTGATGAAACATCATGACCAGAGCAAGTTGGGGGGGGTAGTTATTCGGCTTACATTTCTATATCACTGTTTATCATCAAAAGCAGTGGGTGAGGGAACTCAAGCAGGGCAGGAACCTGGAGGCAGGAGCTGATGCAGAAGCCATGGAGGAGTGCTGCTTACTGGCTTGCTCCTCATGCCTTTCTCAGCCTGCTTTCTTACAGAACCCAGGACCACCAGCCCAGGGATGGCACCACCCATGATGGATTGGGCCCTCCCCCATTAATCACTACTCAAGAAGATGCCTTACACTGGATCTTATGGAGGTATTTTCTCAATTGAGGTTGAGATAACTTTACGATAACTCCAGCTTCTGCAAGTTGACACAAAACTAGCCAGCACACATACCCATTCTTGATGCATTTTAAGAGTAAGTGGGATATTTAAATAACCTATTAAAGGGCATAGAACAATGAATGTGATTAACGGGTCATCGAGATGGCTCGGTGGGTAAAGGCAGTGGCTGCTAAGCCTTGACAACCCAAGTCCCTGGTCCCTGGGAATCACATTGTGGAAAAAGAAAAACAGTCTTCATTGGTCCCCATTCTTCCTTCAGCTTCCCAATGTGTGTGTGTGTGCGCGCGCGCACATGGTAGATGCCTGGCTGTAAATGTGTTTGTATGCATGTGGGCACCTGTGTGCATGCATGCAGGTGGAGGCCATGCATTCATACTGGGCGTTTTCTTCAGTCCCTTTCTACCTTACATTTTGAGGCAGGGTCTCTCATTTCAACCCAGAGCTCATGGATTCTGCTAGTTTAGCCAGCCTGCTTGTTCTGGGGATCTCGCCTCCACCTCTCATGCACTGGGATCACAGACAGGCCTCCATGCTTGCTTGGCACTTACACTCACTTTACAATAGCAAGTTCAAGGACAATGTATGTACTGCCATTGTTTCACATCTTTTTACATCTTTAAATAACAATTTGTAGTTTCCTTCACATTACTCTCCTTTTAAAAAGGACTTTTTTTTAAATGTTTTTAGATAGCATATAAAGTAATGGACTTCATTGAATTCTTTTAGCTTTAATCGTAAGTTCGACACACCCTAGAGTCGGGTAGGAAAGCCTCCATAGATGAATTTTCTAGATATGATAGGCCTATTGCATGTCTGTGGGGAACCGTCTTGATGTAGAAGGACCTAGTCCACTGTGGGTGTTACCATCCCTAAGCAGGTGATCCTGGGCTGTATAGGAAAGCTAGCTGTACATGAGCTTACAACAGAACAAAATCAGATCACACTAGAGAACTCGGGTGCTCACACATCGCCCTAACTCGCTCATATCTGCACCCTCCGCTCCCCAGCTCTGCTCCCCAGCTCTGCTCCCCAGCTGCTGGTCCTCCCCCCTCCCACAGAGTCCCAGCTTCACTCTCAGGTCAGACAGATTTGCAAACATTTGTTTTGAAAGATTTAAACATTTCAGAGTTTTTCTTATTATAATTTTTCCTCAACTGACCATTGTTTCTATGTTACACTCACTGTGACTTGTTTCCCAAAGAGAATTACAGTGTCTTCCTATATGTTCCCCTTCAGTATTCTAATAATTTTCACCCTAAATGACCACCATCACAAGCAGGATCTTTCCCCTCACAGACTCCTCTAGTGTCTTCTAGAAAATGAAACCGAATGGGAAAATCTATCTGAGCACAAATTTATCTTATAGTTTGCTACTCGGAAGGACTCTTATTATTTCTAGAAACTTCTGATTTTATTTTCTATAGTTTTTATTTATGTGTAAGCATTTGTGTCATGCTCTGCATGTGTGTGTGCTCCCAGAGGCCAGAAGAGGTTGCCAGATCCCTAGGAATTGGAGTTACAGACGACTGAGTGCTGGGAGCTGAACTCAGGTCCTTTGGAAGATCATCAAGTGCTCTTAACCACTGGGCCATCTCTCCAGCCCTGGCTTATTTTCTTGAAGATCTCTTCATTGTCAATTGTGTTACAAGAACATTGAGTACACTCTTCTCTGTTCTAGAGGCTTCCACAAAGGCACTCGGAGATTCCAACACAGTTGTGACAAGGGCCAATAATGGCAGGGCTCCTCCTCTATTATTTCTAGGGAGAGGACTCTTGCTCCCCCAGATTTTACAAGTCTCCCCTCCCCATCCCCCATCTCCCCTTGAGACAGTGTCTTATTCTGAAGTACAGGCTGACCTGGAATTACTGGTATTGGACTTCGAGTAATTCTGCCTCAGCCCCTCAAGTGCTTGATTAGAAGCCATCATGCCTGACTTCTGTGAACCCTTAGAACTTGGTAAATGTAGAGCCCATGTGTGCCCTTATTTATTTATCCATTTATTTACTTATTAGAATGTGTGGCCTTGTTCAGAAGCTGTCACTGGAGCTGGGCTTTGTGGTTAAAAGCACTTAGTGATCTTCCAAGTGACCTGAGTTTGGTTCCCAGCACTCAGTCATTTATAACTCCAACTTCTAGGGATCTGGCAACCTCTTCTGGCCTCTGGGAGCACACACACACACACACACACACACACACACACACGCACACGCACACGCGCACACACGCATTCACAGCATGACACACATACTTACACATAAATAAAAATTAAAGAAATAAATTTCTAAAAATAATCCAGGCTCTCTCTCTCTCTCTCTCTCTCTCTCTCTCTCTCTCTCTCTCTCTCTATTCCCTGCAGATCAGGATGTAAAGTTCATGGCTACTGCTCCAGTGCCATGCCTATCTGCTTCCTACAAGTGCAAGCAAGCTCCCAATGACATGCTTTCTTTTATAAGAGTTGCATTGGTCATGGTGCCTCTTCACAGCCATAGGAAAGTACCTAAGACAGCCCATGTTCAACCTATGGTCCTGAATGCTGGCATGTAGTATGTAAGAAGAGCTAGTGTAGATCAGGTGCTGGTGTATGGTGGAGGAGCTGGGATGTAGCCTCTTCTAGACTGACCTCCACAGCTCACTCTTTCAATCTCTGAATCGCTTGTCTTTTTTTCCAGTTTATCTTTGCCTCAGCTGCCTCATCTATGGCCTGGCGGCAACAACAACAACAACAACAACAACAGCCTCAGGTTGCTGTAAGGCTTAGAGAACTTAATGGGACCGATACCAATGCCTTCCTTACCAGAGCAGGCAATCAATGGCTGTCACCATCGACAGAATGACCAATGCTGGGTACAGAGAGCATTACTTCCTGCCTCTTCCTTTATCACTACACCGGCACCGCAAAGACACTGTTTCCCGGCTTTTAAAGGACGAGAGAGCAAAGGTTCCGTGGCAGCTTCGCTTACCAGGGCCACAGTGAGGTGACGACTGAGCTGCCCTTAAACCTAGGGCAGTGATTCAACAACTATGTTCCACTACTCCGATCTCATTTCCATCATTTTCTCTATGATACAGGGTCTCTCAGTGTATCCCAGGCTGGCCTTGAACTCATGATCCTTCTGTCTCAGCCTTCCAAAGGGTGGGATCACAGGTGTGCACCACCATGGCTGGTTACCACTTCTTAGAATTAAAATTTATTATTATTATTAGCATATATGTATGTAAAATGATTTGCATGCCATACTCAGAGGATCAGAGGATGATTTTGTGAAGCTGGTTTTCTCCTTCTCCCATGAGAGTCCTGGTGACTGAACTCAGTTTACCAGGCTTGTGTGGTAAACTCACTGAGCTCTCCTTCTGGCCTCTGGCTATTACTTCTTAAAATCTTTCCAATGAAGGCTACAGCATAGTCTAAATGCAAAAAAAGGAACACACACAGGAACAAAGCCCTCCAAAGAAGGTAATAGCCCCTAAGGCAGACACTGTAGCCGTGTGCAGCCCTTACCATGTAATAGCCCGGCAGCAGCTTCTGCAAGAACTCTGCTTCCTTATGCTGAACGGTTTTGATGATAAATTCATCATCGCTGGTCACAAAAAACAAGGATCCACTGGCTCCAGGATTGGACAGTTCTATCAGGGGTTCACTGCAGATGGAGTACTGAGAGAGGGAAAAAGGTAAACACACACACATCATCATTTTTATGTATGTATGTACACACTTGTTTATGATTTCACAGTGCTGGACCAAACCCAGGACCTTGTCAGGCTTGGTAGATGTTCTCCGATGAGCCACAGTGCCCACTCCTAAGCAAACACTTAAAGCAAACTGTGGGGGCCAGGGAGAGTGTTTGCAAGCCTGGGGACCTGCCTTTGGACCCTCGGCAGCCACGTAGAAAGTGGGTGAGGTGGCTTGCACCTGGTACTGGGGTGCCTGAGACAGCATAGATCCCTGGAGCTCCAGAGCCGACTAGTCTTGCTGAATCTGTGAACTTCCGTTTAGTGAGAGGTCTCGTCTCAAAATAAGACAGAGAATAAACAATACAGGAAAACATCTGCCATTGACTTTCGCTTCCACAACGCCCCCCCCACATATATGTGGCTGCACATACACATGTGCACACAAGAACATGTACACACAGATATACCACACACATACAAAGTTAAAGTATACTCTATTTTTTTTTTGAGATAGGGTCACTCTGTGTAGGCCAAGATGATCTCAAATTGATGATTTTCCTGCCTCCACTTCCTCAGTGATGTGACTACAGGCCTATGCCACCATGCATGGTTAAAGGACCCTTGTTTTAAGTGCACGCGTGCACGCGCGCGCGTGCGTGCATGCGTGCGTGCGTGCGTGCGTGCATGCATGCATGCATGCATGTGTGCGTGTGCCTGTGTGTCCATCAAAGGACAACCTTGGGTACCATCCTCAAGAACGCCACCCAGCTCTTTTGAGACAGTCTCTCATTGGTCTGAAGCACATTAATTAATAAATAACTAGGCTAGACCATAGGCCAGTAAACCCCAGTGACCGCCCCCCCCCTCTTCCCAATGCTAGGATTATGAGAGTGTTGTTATCATGCTTATCATTTTAAATTGGGTTTTGAGGACTGAACTCAGGTCCTCATGATTTCAAGGCAAGTACCTTACTAATGAGCCATTTCTTAGGTTGGCTAAAGTACTCCCTGATCCAGTGAGACAGGGCTTCTCTGTGTAGCCCTGTGTAGTTTCAAGCTCTCCCAGAACTCTGTAGACCAGGCTGCCCTCGAACTCAGAAACCAACCTGCCTCTGTCTTCCAAGTGTTGGGATTAAAGGTGTGTGCCATCACCGCCCAGCACTAAAGTATTCTTAATGTGTATGATGTTTCCATAGAGGATGAGCAAAGTAATACCCATCTTGGCCTTGGAGAAATTTAAAAAAGATTTATTTACTCTTATTTTCTTTGTATGGGTGTTTTGCTTGCACAGATCTCTGTGCAGCATGTGCATGCCATGGCCACATATGCCAGAAAAATGGCATCAGATACTCTGGACCTGGTGTTACAGATGGTTGTTAGCTAACGTGTGGAAGCTGGAAACTGAACCAGGTCCCACACAAGAACAAGTACTCTTAACTACTGATCCATATCTCCAGCCCCACCGTGGCCTCTTTGAAAGAGTAAGTACTATCTATGAGCTTTACAAGGAGGCTCCAGGTAAACTCAGGTACTTCTCTGGGAGATTTCCATTTATTTTTATAATCCTGTCGTGGAAAAGAGGTATGATCTCCCTTCTCCCCACCCCCAGGGCCACACAACAGAACCTGGGGTATTCATATCTGTCTGTGAGATCGTTAATCAGGAAAGCAGCAGGAGATGCTGTTTACAGCACTCCCGTGAAGGCCCAGCTGAAGGTCAAGTGCCTGTGCATATGCATCCCTTCAACATGGAACCTCTCTCTTCTCTTTCCTCTCTTCCCCCAGGGGACACTCTCCACTGTCGCCGATTACACAGAGGATGATGTGACATCTCCATCCCAGGACTCTAGGGCTCCAGGTGGGTCTAACATTATAATTGATATCTCTATTTGGTTATAACTCAAACTTTACATGTGACAAGCACACAATCAGATTCAGTTCAAGGCCATCATTAAATTATATGGCTTTGCTGGGCAGGGTGGCATATGCCTTTAATCCTAGCAGAGGTTGGTGGCCCTCTGTGAGTTCAAGGCAAGCCTGGTCTACATGGGGAGTTCCAGGACAGTGAGTTCCACTACATAGAAAAACCATGCCTCAACAAAAAACAAATTATATGGCTTTTATTTTGTTGTTGTACAAATGAAAAGGTTTTTTTTTTTCTTTTAACCATGGAAGATCCAGCTCTTGGCCAGAATCCAAGTGTGGTGAGTAGAAGAAGGACTGGATGCCAGCCTCTGGAAGGATTCCTTCCTTTCAGCCAGGTAGGAGCCCTTGAGCAGTATACACCCCACATAGCAGAAGATGGTCTCTAAATCATCTGGCCCCTATCTTTCACTTCACCCTATTTCCTTATCATCAGGGGTGAAACACTAGTCACCTCGGTGTCTAGCCTCGACACTTTGTATTTCCTCATTTGTATCCAAACGCTGGATTCTGCCCGCCTCCTTCACACCAGCTCCCTGGCCAAAACCCAAGTTCAGTGCTTCTCTCCACTCTGTCTGGCCTCTACGGCATGCTCTCAACGGCAGCTCTCATGCCCTCTCCCCTGCCAGTGCCCTCTCCTCTGGACACCAGGGGTCTTTCTAAAGGTAAACCTTGACCTCCATTGTGTCACATCTTCCCATGACTCCTGACAGCATGTCATGACCACAAGTGGCCCAGTGTCACTTTCCAGGTGTCTCACCCATCAGTCTTTCTCTGAAGCTCTATTCATGACATAAACCCTTGACTCCTGGCCTTCTCACTGTATTTCTGCACTGTTGGGGGTGAAAACTGAGTCCTCACGCACACTAGGCAATGTTCTACCATTGAGTTACATTCCCAGCCTGGGATATGGGTCTGGCTTTACTTTTTCCTGCATGAGGATAACCAGATTCTTTTTTGAGATTTTATTTTACTTTTATTTTATGTCTATGAGTGGTTTGTGTGAATGCATGGCTGTGTACCACATACATGCAGTACCTGTAGAGTCCAGAAGGGGGAGACAGATCCCCTGAGACTGGGGTTACAGACGGATGTGAGGTGCCAAGTGGGTGCTGTGAATTGACTCAGGTCCTCTGCAAGAACAGCCAGTGCTCTTAACCATTAAGTTATCTTTCCAGGCCCTACATAACCAGTTTTCCCAACACAA